CCGCAGGCGCCGCCGCCGCCGCCGAGATGCCGGCCGGATGTTGGTGCTGGGTGCCCGCCCACTTTCCCCTCGCCGGCCCCCTGCTCCCAGGGCTCAGAGTCTGAGATCCGGTCCCCTTCAATGAGCCAGAAGGGGCAGGGCGTGGCGATGGCGGCGCAAACCTGTAATCCCAGCGCTCTGCGAGGCTGAGGCAGAAGGATGGCAAGTTTGAGCCCAGCTCTGGAAAATTAGCAAGACCCGCCTCAAGACACAAAAGGGCTGGGCGTAGCTCAGTGTGACTCCCTCGCAGCCCTCTGTCTCCCTGGCGCACCCCTACTCATCCTTCACAACCTGATCCAGGGAAAGGGAACTACCCTGTTGAGAGCCAACCGCTACTTGTCAGGCCTTTGCACAAGTTGTTACACGGAAGTGTCACAGTAACCCGGTGAGGTCGGGGCTTGTGCTAGCAAAACGTAAAATGCAGCCCTTGAAGTGATTAAGAAACTCAAAATGGCAAAAGAACATCATTAAACCAAGCACAGAACCTTCCTAAGGGTAGGGTTCTGCAAGTGTCCAAGTCATACACTCATAAGGCCAGCCCTGGTTATAGAGCAGTCAACTAAAGAGCTCAGAGAGGTTAAGTAATTTGTCTCAGGTCACACAGCTGGTTAGGGACAGAGCCATTCTATTTAGTTCACATCCCTTTTCTCTCAGCCACTCTTGTCTTGGAGTCTCCCCAACTTGGCCAGGCTGGGTGAAACCTGTCAACCCTCCTGGAACTCATTTCCCTTCCAAAATGTGTCCTCCAAAGACAGGCAGGAAGGCCACAGATCCGGACTCGGGCACTGAGAACAGGTTCACACAGACCAGCCACATGGGGGACCTGTCTGGGGTCCTGTCAGCATCCTCAACCAGCTCTAGGTAGAGCACAGCCCTCCCAGTCCCTCTCCCCCAGGCCCCCAGGGCCCTGCGCCTCCTCTCCCCGCTTAACACACAATCAGCTGCCTGAGGACACGGCTTCTGTGACACACAGGACACAGTCCCAGGCCAGCCTCTCTGGCCTTCACTGGGAATATTCATTGCACGCTTTGAGAACGGCACATCTCCTGGTTGCTGTGCCTAGCATCCTCTTTCATACCGTTGATCCAACTCCACCTGTAGCTTTTGTTGGATGGTTTTCTTCTTGAGAGCTTTAGTTTACTATGAGTTAGTTTAGCATGACTTTATCCAACTGACAGTCATTCGTCTGGCAACTACTAACTGTGCACTTACTATGTGTCAGGCCTTCTGCCTTTTAAAGCTCATAGTGTAGTCGAGGACATGGACAGTAGCTCATCAATGTTGTCCCATTGAGAGCTGGACCAGATGCCCTTGGGCCCAGAAATTAATTCCTGGCTCCGAGGGGGCAAATTAAATAAGATTTTGAAGTACCTACAAGAGTTTTCCAAATAAAGAAAGTAAGAGAGATGGAATTAGCACATTTAGAAGAGTCTAAATGTTTGGGGTTGAGGATTTGAGGTAGGTGAGCGGTTGAGAGATGTGGACACTATAAGTGGGTGAAGCCTCTCTCCATCAGGGAATTTGGGGGTGGTAGAGAGGAACACGCCTGATGTAGGTGGAAAGAGAGAGAGGGAAATTTTCTAGGTTGAAAATGCTGTGCACAGAAACCAGGCAAAAGCCTTCAGTTGTCCCAGTAGCACACACGGCCCCATTCACGTGTGACAGTATCATCTCAGAGACACCCAGGGCAGGAGACCTTAGAACCTAGCTGCTGCCTTCCAGTTTACAGCAACTATGTTCACTGTTGATGTCCACTGTCTGGCAGCCTGTTTTTGCCTCCACACCTCTGCATGCACCACAGATCGCCGGTCCCTCACGGCCTGTGAGGGTGGGTGGATAGGAAAGGCAGCGGAGCTGATCCTTGAGGTCTACCAGCCAATCTGCAGCTTTCACATTAGCCCTTGGGTGACAAATGTTCTGTTGAACGCTTTTGCATGTCTGGGGCCCAGAGAATAAAGGAAGGAGAGAAACTGTGGAAAGAAGTCTGACAATGTTAAATTGTATTCCCATCTGTAAACTACAAGGGGAGAAGGCCCACCTTTTAATCCCTTTTGTTTTTTATAGGCCCCCGGGAATCTCCTGAGAGGTGTCTGCTATCTGGACAGTGACCAGAAGACACGTCGGGCTGGACTAGCGCCCTTGCAGATGTGCATACCTACTTCCTCTGAAAACTTACATTTCCATCTCCAGAGTACGTTTCTGAAAGCACAAGCTACAACCATGTTTAAACACATACAAGCAGCCATGTTTAAGAATGGAAGCATTGCTGGCAAAAAATTAAACCAGTGATCAAGAGACAAGAATGATTGTGTGTGTTTTCTCCTGCTGGTCACAGGAGAAAAGCCCTGCCTGGGCACTGGGTCAGCCAAAACCTTCATGTGCGCCTTTCTGGATGAGTGTGAATTCCGATGCCCTTCTAACCCAGGGATGAGGGTTAGGTTGTCTATACGGGAATGCTTACAGACGCCCACACATTCTCTAGGGTGTCAAGAGCTTCCTGATGGAAAGCAAAAAAGATTTTCAGGATTGTAAAGAGAAACATGTTACCATTTACCAACAAGGGTAACAACTGTCCAGAACAGCAAAGCAAAAAATAGAAGCAAAGAACAAGCATCCTGGGGAAAAGTTATTTGTACTCCATTGCCACCTCCCTCGGAATCCCACAGGTCTCAGCATGCACTGTCAAGCCTCAGTGCTGGGTGTCCTTGCTGTGCTGCAGTCTGTACACAGCGTTGGCACCTAGCAGAGCCCACCAGACAGCTACACGGCAGCCACAAGACAGCATTGCTTTGGTTAGGCTTTGGAGGACTGTTCTCCTCTAAGATTTAGACACATGATCTCAGGTCTTGGGAGGCTGAGGCAGGAGGATTGCCATGAATTCAAGGACAACCTGGATTACATAGTTCAAGGCCAGCCTAAACTACGTGATGAGACACTGTCTCTGAAAAGTACAAAGTTTTATAGATACCTTCAGTTGTTTTTATGAAAAGTAAAAACGAGATTACTGCTGAGAAATGCATCTGTTTATTAACTATAAAGTGAAAATTTTAATTATAAATAATCTAATATTACAAGTTGTCTTGGATTTGATGGCATGATTGCCTTTGGAAATATAAATAGTATTTGATAGCTCAGTGTTCTAGAATGTAAAACTTCTAAAATTTAATAGGAGGAGCTAAAAGCACAAAGTATTCCCACGTGCCTTTGACAGTACTATGTTACATAACAATAGTGTACTCTGAAGTACAACAAACTGATGTCACAGTACTCAGAAAGACTTTACTCAGCTATGGCCAGAAAAAACTGTATTTTATATATATGCATATATGTTATATATTGGCTTTTTATTATATATATATTTGCACTTTATAGTTTATATGGGCCAACAGTTGGCTTCATGCCACAAGGGAAGAAATCATCCTGGGGTTTAAGAGGGCGATCCTAGAGCCAGCCAGACCTGAAAAAGTCTCTGCTTTCTCCAGGTGTTTGTCCTTGGGCACTTCCCTTCTCGGCCTCCGTTTTCTATTCAGTGAAGTGGATTATTGTGACAGTTAAATGACCTGAAACACGTACTGCTCTTTGGCCAGTTCCTAGCACAAAGTAAGTGTTCAGTAAATGCTAGCTGGCTATGTTATCACCTCACCATCACTTTCTTTAGAGGGGAAAAAAAACAACAACAAATGAACAGCACAGTAGCTGCAGAAGCAGCTGGCTTTGGAAGGTTAAGTCTGACTCAAGGAAGTCCTTAGCCAAAACCCTAGGCAGCCTCGAAAGCCTCCGGCTCCCACACCCAGACCCCACCTCTTCACCCAGCAGCCCCCATTTATCCCCCCCAACACACACACACACACACACACACTCACACACACCTCTCAGCGAAGGCAGCGGCTGCCTGCAGCTGGCGCTCAGG